CAGGAGGGGGACGGATCATCAACCCTTCATCTTGAAACATTCCTTGCAAACCCCCACCACAATTTCCACTGGCAACTCTTTAATCCTTGTGGTTATAGTACGAGTGAACCCGGAATTCATACTTTCCTTCCCAATCGAAACCAGTGGCACAAGGCCCCCCCTGATTCGAATTCTTCCTTCCGTGCGTCCTCGACCGAGATTCAGCCAAGTAGAGCCGCCAAGCAACTCCGACCGCAGCATCTCTCCCGAAACACCAGACCCCAGCCCATCATTAGCTTGATGACGAAACTGGTGAGAACAAAGCAGAGAAAAAAACCGATCTTCGATCGACAAAGATCAAAATTGGAGCAACGACCTAGCGGAGCAAACCCTAGGAGAGAACGTGGCTACGCAGAGCCGAGCACCCACCTTCTTTCCTTCGTCCCAGTCTTGCTGCTACAACGAAGGCAAACCGAATTAATATATTAAGTTTTATAATTTATAGTAATTGTGAGTGTTTTAAAAGGCGTTAGTTATGGTAAATGTCAAATCTAGGTGGACTAGATTACGGTTATATGTGATAAGGCTTTTTAATTTTTTTTTATTAAAAATTACTCTCTCCGACTCATTGAATGTTTTCTGTTTTGATTTGAGTGTAGAATAAGATATAAAAAGCGCGCGGATAAAATTTGTGTAGAAAAGAGAGAAATTGGAATAACCACAAATTCATTCAAGAGTATTTTAAAGAAAAATGGCAAAGATTATAGAATAAAAAAAATTCGGCAAAATCCAATGAGATGTTATTTCATATTGATATCAAAGAAAAGAAATTTAGATTAAAAAAGTGATGTTTGAGAATAACTTTTACTTTTTTAGTGAACAGATAATTTTTAGTATAAAAGTATACATACAAATTAATATAATGGTACATTCTATTATTAGATGTCATAAGTAACATACTTATGGAAGTTTTTTGTATATAATTTAGTAGGATTCTTTTTTTAAAAAAAGTATATCGAAAGCTTCTATCTTTAATAGAGACTTTAGGTTTATGCTATTCACGTCTAGGCACACTTTGATTATCTGTCCAATACCTCTGGCTCTATGAATACCGATTGTTGCAAAGGTGTTATAATTTGGCTAAAATCAAATGTAAATTGGGTTTGATTACACATTATTATTTGACACTCGTAAATCATAAAGGTTTGTAATGAAAACTAATTTTATACGGAGTATTACCTAATAATACGCGTGGTTTATAATTGGTTTACTATTCATATTTAAGTCTGATAGCATTGCTTTATTTAAGTTATTAACTTATTATTATGTATTGCTCTTTAATTATTGTGGTTGTCCACTTATTAGAAACTATTTACATTGGCTTATTTAGCCACGACTAGAACAAATCAAATCAAATCAAACATGTTTATAACTGATTAAATCAAGCAAATTTAAACAAATGAGATCAAATATGTTAATTTTGACCAAATTTTGGTAATCATGCAAATACATTTGCCTAACGAGATTAGTTTAGAGCATAATATGCTAAACATAATAAATGAGGAACAAATCTTGGCAATGAGAATATACATATAGACAGGATAAAAAAATCAAAATTAAGCGAAGAGTACCTAAGCCACAATAATTTATCTACAACTAAAAAAATCAAACATGAAAGTGAAACCGCAACTGAATCAAATTAAGTGCCCCAAAACATGGTTCAAGACTTCAATCATTACTTCTGAATGTTCACGCAAAGGGTAAAGCTACAAAATGCCTTTTGAGTCAAAAAACACTTTGGAGGAACTACAAGAAATGAAGGACGTATCACGTATGTGGAGGATAGAAAATTTACGATGCAATATTGAGTAATACAAAAGCAATAGAAGTAATTCACGATTCAGTGGATGTATGATGATTCTATTTTTCACTTTATCATATTTATCAATCAACATCACCAACAAAACGCGTAATTTTGATTTCGCGCGCTGAATTGTGTAATAATAAGAAATATTATTAATAACACGTAACTTTTGATTTCGCACATTGAATTGATTTAGCTATTTTTTCATATAATGTTTTCTTTATTTTATTAATAAAAAATATTTTAAACAATTTTTTTCATAAATCAGCAAAATTATTCAATCTAGCCACTTCAGCCAGAAGTTTATAATTCAGCAGAATCAATCAATTCAGCCAATTTCAATGTTACCGAACGGCTCTAAGATTTACTTGGAAAACCTTTTAAGGTAATGAAAAATCCACAAGACCTTCCTACAATAGAAGTTGTTCAATTTGTCCTCTACTATCATGTGATTCATTCACAAAAAAAATAGGTACAACAAATATAATCACTATTAATATTTTTGCTATTTGCTGCTAAACCTGCACAAAATCGAGCTGGCCCGTCCATACAAATGGACATGTTTGAACATATATATTTGCCCACCAGACCGTGCACGAGCCGTTAAATATATGGACAGACTTGGGTTTTAGTAGTATAGGCCTAGGTGGGCCTAAGAGTCTGGCCCGTAAATTATTGTGTATATATGATATATAATTGTATATTTAATTCATAATACATACATATATATACACATTTATTTATATCTCTAAATGTTAGTCTAAAGGAGACCAATCGACAACTTTTTCTTATTCAATCGGCCAACCTAATTCTTTAACACCCTCATGAAGTTGCCAAATGCATCTATGTCCTTAAACTTTTGTGTGCAAAAACCTTTAAAATTCATGAATTGGAGGGCAATCATTCCCTTTGTTTAACGGCGAGTCGGCGAATAGGATATCATGGACTGCTTTTAATATAAATTAATAAAATAGTGGGAGGAATCTGTCAAAAAAATTAGCCTCATACTCTAATTCATTACCGTATTTGCCTTGACAGACCAACTTCCTTCAATTGATGGCATTTCTATGCAATCGATACTGAAGTTGCCTTCCTCCTCTCTCAACATGACTCAATGGTATATTCCTTATTTAGTTCATTAAATTTTGGGAGAACATCTTGTGAATTCCATCAAAAGAAAGCTCAGGTTCCAGCAAATCCATCATCTTCTTTTCCTTTTAAACATCCCATACACACACACGTGTGTAAATAATGTTTGTAACTTTGTACCATATTTGTATTTGTTTATAAAGGTTTAGTTGGGAGTTCACCATCTCTCTGTTTCGACGTAGTACTCTCTAAAACTTAGAGTTCATGGTAGTTAGTCGAATTTTTATCATTCTAGAGATTCATACAAATCATTGCAAGTTGCAATTTGCAACAATTAAGTTGTGATATTTTAATTTATATTTTTTCCTTAGGTATTATATGCAATAGAACTTAGGTATTCAGCTTTTTTACTCTTAATGGCTCTCTAGTGTCTTTATTTCAAAGTGATCCAAAGAAACAAATTATTGTTCAGCGGTCATAGTTGGTCGCTGCGATCAAAGTCACACTTCCCTTATTTCCTTATTCGGCAAAGAAAACTACTTCTAAACAGTGCCAAACAATGTCAAACAGTGTCTTAACAGTGTTAAACAATGTCTAAACAGTGTTTTCAAAGTGTCTAAACAGTGTTTTCTACAGTAAAGTCAATTTATTTCTTTAATCCTAGAGAAGTCAAATCGTGACTATCTTTGAGAAACGGAGCGCTTGGGAGTATCAAATTGATATTTTGAACTAAAATTTGGGTAGCAGAAAAATTAGCAACCCTCTTGCAAAAATAAGGTGCTAGATTATTTATTACTTTTAGAGGGCGTTTGGCAACACTGGTTTCCGGCTTATCAGGCTTATCAACCAACTTTTTTACCAAACGCGTAATTTTTGCTTTTGCGTGCTGAATTGTGTAATAACTAATAAGCATAAAAAGTAAGGTTGAAGTTACTTTTTTGGTTGTATTGGCTGAAGTTACTGTAGATGATCACTTTAGCTATTTTTACATATAAATTTTTCTTTATTTTATTAATAAAATATATTTTAAAAATAATTTTTTTTAAATCAGCAGAATCAGCCAATGCAGCCACTTCAGCCAGAACTTCATAAATTTTAGCAGAATTAGCCAAATCAGCCGATTTTCGTGCTACCAAACGGCCTCTTAGGCTACAAATAATTCTGATGCATTGGGAAGTCTTATTAGTCACACCTAAGTCTTATAGTCACACTGACACCTAAACTAACCGTTAATTTTATAATTTGGAAGTTATTAAGCTACTGCATCTTTGAAGCATATACGATCTATAGCAGCCAAAGGAGCAAGTTTAACACTAGTCAATACTATTAAATTGATTCAGTTATTAGTTAAATAAAGGGTGATTGCCCTCCAATTCAGAGATTTTAAAGGGTTTTGCACACAAAAAAAGTTTAAGTACATAAATACACTTTGTTTTTGCCCCTTTCCCAAGTTTTAATAATTTGGTCAACAGTGCTTTTACAGAACAAAATTAATCCAAAATAATAACTATACTAGTATTAGTGCACATTTGAAACTACACTAAAAAGTTCCATTAATCCGTAAGAAGTATGATATAATTTATTAGATAAAATCATATACGTAGTATTAAAATAAAAAACAGTGACATGAATAATCACTCCGGAGCATAATAATTGGATTCATTACGGGTGAGTAACAATAATTCTAGAATTCATGTATGGGTATTTTTAGGGTAATTCTATTCACAGTCCCCTAATTACTATTCACAGTCATCAAAATAAATATTAATAAATAAAAATAATTAAAATGTCCAAATTACCCTACACCCACCTAATCACCAATTTTTTACTCCTCCACAGAACATCATACATACAGGCAGAAACACAACATCCACAAAATACTCTGAATTCAATACTTCAAAATGATAAGCATTTTGAGATTCTTCTACACCGTGAAATCTGACATCCCAAGCTGTTGATATTTCCTCACCCCTAGAATTGGTCTCATGCACCTCTTATGGTGGAAAGAAGTTCACAAAGCCTCTTCAATAACAAACTAATGGAGCATCTAGTAGCCCAAACACTTCCATCTGTTGAAATTTCTCAAAACAAAGGTGAAGAGAAATTCTCTTCATCAGCGAAACCAATTTCTGATCGCTCGATTCCCAACTGCAATTGTTATTATCTCCGCCCAAGACATCTCGGCGGTAAATCGAATAACGAAAAGTGCAGAGGTCTGAACAATTGTCAGCATGGACTTGTCGTTTAAATCCTATCGGTTTTTGTTGTCTTCATCGTCAATTTGATAACAGTGACGAATATATTAAAAAAAGGACGACACTCCATCCCCGAGGAGACCCTATATGCTACACCCGGTTGTATGTACATCCGTGGTCCAATTAACATAAAAGCCCATTAAGAGATCTAGCCCATAACACACCTGGCCCCAATTTTTATCGGGTAATATCGATAACCGAAAAACAGAGCCTGCGATTTAAACATATCAAAAAACGGAAAAGTAACTTCTCTCGAACTACCTTCTGAAATTTCTTCGAAAACGACGCAAGCATTCATACACGCCGTATTAAAGCTCGAAAAACGATGACAGCCTCCAGACAATTGTCAACTTCGCGGAGTTGTTCGTAGAGTTGCAGAGCAACGACAAGTTAAGAACAGAGGAAGAGTTTGAGCAGCAAGTTGTTTCTGTTTGAGCATTGAAGCGAGTGATGGACCTACTATCCGAGTATGAGATGATGAAGAACGCAGATAAGCATGAAACTCCAGAAGGATCAGAGAGGTATGTAATATTATAGTGTTCAAATTTGTATTCAAGTAATGATTCAACAATATACTTGCATGTTTCGAAAATTATAGAAAAAATGAAATGATTTTGACAAATCTGAAGCAGATTATGAATTTGATGCATGATATGTGTTTATTAAGTATATCATTTGAGGTTTTGTTCAAAATACGAAGGTTATTGCTCATTTTACTCTACTTTAGGTCATATGCATTACTAACTAGTTAGAACATGGTGATACTGTAATTAGGTTACTTCTAAGATGATAAAATACTCAATCTGTGGTATACAGTACTCATCTATGAATGGAGTGGTATGTGCTTTAAATTTTCTGTACTTGTTGAATAATATCCTTATGATTCATATGTGTTTATGCTAATTAATCATAATGTGACATTAAAATTGAAGTCATACTCATTATTTGAACACTGTATCAAATGAACAAATAGACATTGTTTCATGAACAATGTGTCATGAAGTGCAGTAGATTTTTTGTTATACAATATACTTGTTCTGTAATTCGTTTGCATGGACATTGTGTGTGCTCATAATGTGAGTGTAAGATGCTCAAATTGTAAAACAGTGTGTCACAATTTTATAGTACTGAAAACTGGTGATAATATGTTAGTTATTCATAATGTTAATTTAAAAGTGAACTGATACTCATAAGTTGATTAGTACTTTCAAATAACCATATGGTGTTATGTTTTCTTAAAAAGCTATGAAAAATTTGTTTTAGAATATGCTTGTCATAAACTACATTTACATATAAATATAGTTTGTATAGAATATGCCTGTGATTGAATAGAGTTACAAAATAATATTTTGTGTGCTCATGATTTGATATATATTACTCATTTTAATTAATAATACAGGATTTTAGATCCACGACCTATAAGTGAGATCCCAGTGCTGCGCTCAAATCCAAAAAAGAGAGTAAAAAAGACTTCCAAAGTTCCACAGAAGCAGAAGAAGATGAAACCAAAAGCAATTCCAAAAAAGGAAAAGGCTAATATGGACTTAATAAAACAAATTGAAGCTGAGATAAAGATGAGTGATGAAGAAACAAGGGTTGCAGAAGTAAGGAAGGATAGCACTAAGAAGACTGAGCATGTTGGAGAACAATCTGAGAAACAAGGGAGGGATACTGAGCACCAAGGGAAAGAAACTGAGCACCAAGAGAGGGAAACTGAGGAGCATGTGAATGTTGAAGAAACAAGCAAAGGTGGCAGTAAGATGACTGAGAATGTTGTAGAAGAATCTGAGCACCGAGGGAGTGAACCTGAGCAGCAAGGTATTGAAACTGAGCAACATGATAATGTTGAAGAAACAAGGAATACTAGCAGTAAGACAACTGAGGAGGTTGGAGAAGAATCTGAGCAACAGGGAAGGGAAAATGAGCAACAAGGTATGGAAATTGAACAAAATCAGATTGTTATAGAAGTACAACAAGGAGCTGCACAGAGAAATAATGAGAAGAAAAGAAAGAGAAATAATGCAGGCTCAATTAAGAAAAGTACAGAACAAGGAAATTCAAGCAAAGAGAAAGAGAGCGAGGAAGTTAGTCCAAAAAGAAGAACTACAAGATCAACAACTTCAGAAGCAACTGAAAAGAAAAATGATGAAGTTCAGAAAAAGAAGAAAGAAGTTCATGCAAAGAAGAAAATAACAAGGGAAGCAGATTCAATAAAAGAGAAGAAGCAGAAGATAAAGAAGAAGAAAGCAGAAGAAGAGGAAGAATTTGAGGAGGACGAAGAGGAGATAGAGAAGGAAGAGAATGCAAAATACCCAAAGCTGTGGACAAGAATGTCTCCGAGTAGTATAACAGAAATAATGAAAAATCTAAGTGCAGAACAAAAGAAAGAGGTGGTTGAGATGGGATTTGGCCCCTTACTGAACCTTGAAGTGAAGCAATTGCCAATGCAGTTGGCATATTGGTTGCTGGACAATTTTGACAGCAGAAGTGTGTCTCTTCTTCTGCCAAACAATGAAAGGTTGAGGATTAATGAAGATGGAGTGCACGTGACATTGGGATTTCCAAAAGGAAAGATTAATGTGAAGAATTTGATTGACACTGAATCTGAGAATACTTCACACATGGTGGCTAATTGGAGATCACAATTTCAGACCGAAAATGGAGTTGTGAAGACTGCTCAAGTGAAGAAGGTTATAGAAGAAAACAAAGCAGGCGGAGTATGGTTTAAAAAGAATTTTTTGGTTCTCCTGGTAACATGTTTGATTGAAGGGAAGCAAAATTGCTTTGCCAATCAAAGCATTCTGAAGGCATTGCAGGATGATTCAAAAATCAAGGATCTGAATTGGTGTGGATACACTTTGGAAACATTAATTGAAGCAAAGGACTATTGGAGCAAAAATAGAGAAAGACAGTTCCCAGGGCCTTTATTATTTCTGATTGTAAGTTACAAATTCTTAATGTTATTGCTCATTTTTACCACACTATTACTCATATCCGCATATACACTACACAATTCTAAAATCTCATAAAATATGTAGGTGTTCTATGTAGACAACATTGTGTTCAAAGGCAGAAAAGTGGACAGAGCATTGCCATCTATTATTGGCTGGACAACACAAAAGCTGAACAAACGACAGAAGGAAGAAATTGAAACTGGAGGTTTTGGATACGGATATATAGATGAACCTAACAAAGGGGAATTGATAGTTCCAAAACTGATCACAAATGAAGAAGAAGCTGAAATCCCGATCGAGGGAAACAGTAATCAGGAGCCAAAGAAGGTAAGGACAGTATTATGTAATTTTAATAGAAACAATTGGGTAAATATATAAATGATAAGTATGATATGTAGATATGAGTATTTAGTACAAAGTAATGAGTGCATTTAAGAAGTTAAATAAAAACAAAGATAATAAATGTGTTAAAAATATATATGCTTCATTCAATTATTTTAGTATAAACTCAATAATAACATAAAGAATGCTCAATTACTGTTCTAAATTAATCATTAAATAACTGCAGGATATTATGAAGGAGTTTGCTGCAGCAGCGAAGAATTTGGCAGAAAGCATGGCCAATTTTGATGAAAAATTTCAACAGGCTGCAAAGGTGTTACCTGATGATGAGACAATGAAGATTTTAATGGGAAAAGTCCATGGGCTTTTCAACACATATTCATCAGAAAAGGAGAAAGAAAAAGAAAATGAAACCGAAGTGTCACTGACTCCAGATGATGGATTCTGGACTGAAGAAGTGCTCAAAGCAGTTGAAGCTATTGAAATGGCTCAGAAGAAAAGAGTTGAGAGGCCAACTTTTACTCAGTATGAAAAGCCAAGCTTCAAGTTGCTTTCACAGGAGTCAAATGATGGGGCGAATACATATGGGGATGATGATGAGCATCATCATGACATAATTGAGCAACATGGCAATGCAATTGAGCATGCAGAGGATGATCCAAGTGAGCAAATGAATAAGGATAATGACAATGCTGAGGATGTTAATGAGGATGAAGAGGAATCTGAAAAGGAAGAATGTGAAGAAGAAAGAGACAGAAGGTTTAGAAAGGGTAAGCAAGTTGAACAATATCACATTGAACCAAAAGAGAACAAAGTGGAAAGAGAAAAAAGAGAAACAGCCCCAGCACTTGCTGTGAAGTCCCCATTCATGAACAGAAGTATAGATGCAAGGACAACACTTGGCAGTGAGGAAAGACTACTTGCAGGTTTTGTGTTCAATGATCATTGTGACAAGAAGTAAGTCGCTAAGTTTTTCTTAATCATTTCGTTTAATATAATGCACATTTTATATTTGAAGGTTACTCATTCTGATATAATAATTCTTTTCAAACAGTGTTGTGGTGTTCAAGCATTACAACTTCACTCTTTCAAAAGCTCAGATGGAAACAATGAAGAGCAACACAAAAGTTGATGCTGGAATTATAGATATATGGGCAATGTTGCTTAATCATAATGAAAAGTTCAAAAGCCCTGAAGCTAAAAGCAGAATGATTTTCTCAACAAGACCATGTGTAAGAAGTACATATTCATTTACTTAGTATTACTAAAATGAAACTAATATATTATAATATTTAATGACAGCATGTGCTAGATCAAAATCATCTCACCGCTCCACAAACAAGGAACAAAAGGTTTGCGGCAGAAATTGGCAAGGAATTTCCCTGTGCAGATGGAAATAAGTTGAGGTCAACAGACCTATTCATATTCCCAGATGAATACAATGGGTGCTACTATATGATGTGCTTTGACTTGAAGAGCATGAAGTTCTACATCATTGATAGTAGCGACGGAGATATAGCTCCTGCAGTCAAGTACTTGTTTCAAATGTCATACCTGGTAAACGTTTTATATATTTCTTTTTTATTTTATCACATATGGATAAATAATGTGATGATTTAGTATATGAGTAATGTGCACTTGATAATTGAGCAACTACATAGACAATATGTGCATGAACATAAGAATATGTATAATTCTGTTTTTGAAATTTTTAACTACAGAGAAGTGGATTTGTGAAATTTCTTCGAGATCAAAAACACCCAAAGGCAGATAAGGTTGTGAAGCTGAAGGAAGAAGTGGTTAAAATGCATTGGAGAAACAAGAAAAACAAAACCAATGAGGGAGTTTATTTGATGAGGCACATGGAGACATTTTATGGTGACACAGCATGGGAGTGTGGATTAGATAAACAAAGTGTAAGTCCAAAATTGTTTAATATAGTTTTCAAACACAATAATTATGTGAAAACTTGAATATCTAAATTATAATGTTTGTACAGGAAAAACCAATTGAGATGATGCGGATTAAGTACTTGCATGCAATAGTAACATCTGATAAGAATGAGATCAAGAAGAACATCATGGAACAAGTGAAGAAACACAATGTGTATACCTAGAAGATTTGTAATGCTATTGATGATTGTGGCGTTGATGAACATATTGTTGTTTTTTAATTCATGCTAAACAATATTAGTATTTGGGACATATGATATTACTATTAAGCTTGGATGACAGTAGTCATGTTAGTAATATTAAATAAGGACATATGCTTATGGGAAGTTCATATTATTGATCATTATTAGTAAGTTCTATGCTCATTTCCTTGCTTACTTATACACATTTTAAGGTATTAATGATAATTACTAGTAAGTACTATTCTCAATTCATTTATTACTTATACAAAATTTTAAGGAGTGAGCTTTTAAATTTAAATTCTTTGAGTGTGAAAGTAAGACAATGTATTAATTCATTAAATAAACAGTGCGGGGTGTTTTTTCCAATTATTCGTAATGTATTTATAATGGTATGAGTCTTCACTACGAAATGAAATAGATAATTTAAAGTTTTTTTGGGAAAAATATGTATATATTTGTGTTCATTGCGAAATAGTAATTATACACATTCATGATGATTGTAATATTGATTGCTGACATCTGTATTTATGAAGTTTATATTAATACTCATTATTAGTAGCGTAAATGCTCATTTAATTAATTAGTATACACAATTTGAAGACTAATCAATTGAATTTTAGAACATTAAGTATGAAATTACGTTATACAAATTTTCTTATAAAAATTATATTTAATTTGAAATAGTAAACACATAATTTAGTGAGTCTTGCATTCAAAATGCATTAACTAAAAAATTATATTTACTTCTATACTCATTTTGTTAACACGTGGTACTCATTATAGCACAAACAATTACTCAAAAGAAGATTAGATCAGAGGAATGTATGATTACAAAAAAGTAAAAACTACAACAAAAACATAGAGGAACAAAATGTAAAGTCTAAAAGTGAAAACAACTGAAACTAAAATGATGATAAAAGATAAAAGATGTTATTTTTTGAATAATATAATAAGTATGTAAATAAAAAACAAAGCTTTTAAGAATGTTTACACATTTCAAGGTTCAATATTCGAAGTACTAGCTGCAGTTGACTTGTTCCTTCCTTGGAAGTTAAGGTTCATATTTCAGAGAACATTTATAATATTCCAAAGCGTAATTTTAAATGATTAACATACAGCTACGGTCTGAGCATCAACACAAAAATGTTGAGTAATAAAAAAACCTGACACCAGTCATTAGTAAACTAGTGAATATAACAGTATTACTACATAGCTATTGGAAAAATCAAACTACAAATTTGCTTGATCAGTTTCAGATGTACTAGCTTGGCGTGACTTCTTCTTTGCTCTAGCTTGATTTGTTTTGATTTTAATAAGACTCTTGCGACGAACATTTCTTTCACCCTTCTTCCTTGAAGACTTTGGATTAGATATTGCTGAACCCAAACCAACTGTAGAAGATTCACTATCTGAAAAGTAAATACTTCCAACTTGCTCTTCAACATCCACTTTCAACTTTGTAAAAGATTCTTCACAAAAATGCCTTGCTACAGAATTAGAATCACTAGAGCACAAAAGCTTGTGAAATTTCTTTTGCATTTGCATTCTCCAAACAGAAGGTAAAACATTAGAAGTCCCAGATGAGGCATATATTTGTTCAGTTGGAACACACTTTGCACTACGCGTCCAACGTTTCAGAACATAACAATCCGGTATAACTTCTACACAGTGAATATGATATATACGAAGAATATGACAACACAAAATACCAACTTCTGAGAATTTCTCACATGAACATTTAACAAAATGTGTTGTCATATCAAAAGAAACCCAATGTGAAAATATATCTATTTGAGGCATCCATACCAAATATGACATCAAAGAACCTTGTTGATGTCTAAGTTCATATTTTAGGGACATACCTCGTAGAAATTCTTTCTCAAACAGTTTCTAAGCATCAATCGTGTAGACCTTGGAGGCTTTATGTAACAAACCAACAAAAGGAATGGCAATTTCCGGAAAACCATCCCAACAACGTTGCTGATCTTTACCCTCATTACTTCTCCATTGACTCACACTTTCACTAAAAAAATGGTAGAAGTCACAAAGACACGAGTTTGCATTCAGTTTTCTAGATATTGAGTTATTCGTGGACTCGCTTCGTTGTGAAGACAAAATTCCAGCAGAAAAGAACTGCTTGGAAAAAGCTGGACACCATTTCTCTCTCATCTCGTACAGTTTGGTCAACCAAGGATTATCAGAACAATTGTATTCACAAACCATCCTGCAAAATATGAAGCAAAATACTCATTTAAAAAACACTATTACTCATTACAGATAAGCAGTTTGCTCAACAAGAAGGTATACTGTAAATGCAGAAAACATAAAAGGAAGTATACGGACAATGAAAAATACCTATTCCAATAATGATCAAACTCTGCAACAATCTGACAGAGTTTCAAAACATGATCAAATAAAGCCAAAAAGCCTTCGTCATTCCTCAAATCTCGTATATGTTTTTTAGAATTTTCAATTATGTGCCATATACAAAGACGATGCCTTGAAGAAGGAAAGACTTTAACTATTGCAGCAGACATGGCGGATGACTGATCTGTCATAATAGTTTTCGGATGCACAAAATCCATTGAATTCAAAAAAGTAGTGAAAAGCCATTCAAAAGATTCAATTCTTTCATTGAGAAGAAATCCACAACCAAACATGCATGTATGGGTGTGATGGTTAATTCCTACAAACGGTCCACATATCATATCGTATTTATTAGTACGATAGGTCGTATCATGAATAACTAGCTCACCAAAAGATAGATAATCTTCCTTCATTTTTTATCTCTCCAAAAGAAACTGACTAAAGAACCATCCACATCTATCTCAAAAGAGAAGAAGAAATCTTCTTCATTTGACTGCCTATTCTTAAAGATGTTAATCAGGGTATTGGCATCAGAACCATCAAAAGATTTCTTGACCTGTTTTGTCAATTCGTTATATGCATCACGCAAGAGAAAACCAACCGAAGGAGATCCACCTGCTTCCGCTTGCAAACATCGAAATCCATCAGCTATCTTGACTCCTTGTTTTTTCAAATGATGCAAGTAATCTAACTCATTAGAAGAAATAGAACGATGAGATCTAACGTGATGAACTAATGAGTTTGGACAAAACTGATGATTATGGTCCATAAGGTGTCTGACAACAACCCACTCACCGCTAGATTTTATCTCAAAATAAATTCGTGCCTTACAATTAGTACGAATGTCAACTTTTGTGAATTGCTTCCCAACAACGCCTTTATTTTTTTTTAAGCCTTGTTTAGTGCAGCAGAACTCCCTTCCCCTAAAGCCAGAACCACCATCCCTCTTTCTCAAAGTAGAGTACCTAACTCCAAAACCAATCCGAAAAGCATAATCATTATACAATTGAAATGCTTCTTCCTCTGAAAATACAGTTGTACCAAGCAACTCAGAAAATTCAGCTTCCTTCACTGATATGGTTTCAACAGAAACAGGATCATGACAAACTTGTACAGTCTCAAAACTAGATGAACGTTCAGCTGCAATAAATAAATAAAGGTAAAATAAACTAAAGATATAAAATTCAAGTAAAAGAAAGGGAAACAATGTACGTAAGAAATGAGCAATACTTGGTCCGAAAGAAAGAGATTCTGTTGCACAAACAAGATTTTGGTCTTCACTGAAATTAACAGCAGAATCCAAGAAATCTAGATGAATGGAAAAACATTACAAGAACATCACAAAACAAAATTCAAAATATAAACAGATTGATTAAAGAAGAACAAAATGTATGAGTTGCAATTAGAAAGTATATTACTGGATTGAATGCCAACAATTCCGCCTCCAGAATCTATATCCTCAATTAATCTTCCACGGGGAGAAATACAATCTGCACAGAGTAAAAACAAAACAAACAAAACAAATGTAAACTCAAAACTGATCAACTAAATACTCAAAACATATCAACTAATGTAATGAATTAGTTCATAGAATAAGTACCTCCAAAATCAGCCATATGGTCGATAAGAATCTAAAACAGAAAAAAATTGAACTGAAACAACTTATAATAGTTATAACAGTAGCGACAACGTATAACAATACAACCAAAAAATAAGTTGAGTAAAAATAAAGATGATTACAGGAAAAGATAACTTCGATGAAACAAAAAAGAATTTGAAACGAAAGAAGGAAAAAACATATAAATGTAAAACGGCAAAGAAAACTACTTACCTAAATCGATCAGTGAAGTAAAATCGAAACTACGAATGGAGAAAGCTGCAGAAGAAAACCGGGAAGATCAATAACAAATAAACAGAAGAAGGACCGGAAGAACCGATCGAAGAACAAAATCTATGGCATTGCTACTAAGAAGCAATCCGCGGAAGAAGATGAAAGCTGCGAGACGACGACCAAAGGGAAAAAGCGAACAAAGGGAAAAAGAAGAAATAAAGAGGATAGAAGTTGCAATTTATTACAAAATTACCTGGCTGTACCAAGAGGAAGGTACAGCCGGGTGTACCATATAAATTGCCATCCCCGAGGGCCCCCCAACACCGACCGGACGGCACGATGGGAGGATGCAAATTGGACTATAATCACAATCTGGCAGATAGAGAGTGGGGCTCTGTTCCCGGTACTTGCAGAAGTCCTATGCATTTTTCGGCATAGTAACCCTTCATCGCAGTTGCCGGGATTCGAACCCGAGACCTAACCCTTGTGGCACTCCCTCGTTACCAGTTGAAGTGGTGTGGAGAGGGGTTTGACACTATTAATTGTATGGGCTGTATACGATAAGTACAGGGGCATACTAGGAATTATAAAACGATTTTTTAATAAGTGGCTGTACTTAGTAAATATGGGGCAGCCAATAGAATTACCCGTATTTTTAATGTGTACAATCTTGATATGCAAATATTCCGTTGTATAAAGTATATTTCCAAAAATGATAAAAAAAAAGTATATTTCCAAAAAAAACACTTGATGTGCCCATTCCTAATCATCACGAGGATGCAAAACCAGCAATCAACCTCAAATTTAACCCCAAGATATTCGAAGGTGAAGAATATTTCCCATTCGATGAAACTTTGGGGATACAACTATACAAGTAAAGTGTCACGAAATGAATGAGAAATCCCTTGAGTCAAGAGATTTTTCCTCGTTAAATTCTTGTGTACTTAACTACTTTGCATTTCCATGTACTCCACACTAGAACTTGGCGAAA